AAAATATCATATTATCGGTTCATTCATAACCACTAAATGGAAGAATGAGATGTTTCAAATATGATGTTGAAGTTTAGAGCTGGTGTGAGCTTATTTTTGCACACCACAAGCATAAATGTTGATTAGATAAAGTCACAGCATCAACAAGGGGAGAAGTAGCTGAACTGGAAGAAAAATGTATGTGAGTTCAAGGCTTCAAGCAAATAAACATTGATGCAATGCGAACATGGATATAAAGTAACCCCAACCAAGAGAAATAAGTTGTTAGGGGTTGGATGTTTGAACACAATGGTATTGTAAAAAGTGGCAGCGATTGGGCGAGCTGGACGGACATGTGGAAATGGAAACTACCCCCCAAAATGAATATGCTTTTCTGGCAAATTTGCACCGGATGCCTTCTAATGACTGCGTCTTTGCGGCAGATAAAAGTTCATTGTGCAGAGAAGTGCAGTTTATGCGGGGCGCAAGAGGAATTTTTTCTCCATTTCTTTGTTCAAGGCCCGGTGGCAATTCAAGCGTGGTTTTCTATAGGTTGGCAGCAGTTAGGCCAGGCAGAAGCAGTTTTTTGGATTGGCTGCAACGGTTTTTTTTTTTTTTTACTATAAAGGGTATCGTTTGAGCCAGCTCAATTCATGTATGTAATGCGAAAGCTTTTGCGGCCAGCTGGGTTCATGCTAAATTTCAGAATGTTAGCACTGTGACTCAAATGCAGGTGGGAGTCTCGCGCTGGACCAGCGCTGGAGGCACCGACCAGAGGGTGGAAGAAGGTGAACGTGGATGTTTCTACTGGTGGCAACCGTTATGGACTAGGCTGGATTCTTAGAGATGATGCGGTAGAGTTTCTGGCAGGGAGAGCAAGGTCTTGGGATGGCAAGTGTGATCTTACAGAGGCTGAACTTCTAGGCATCTGTGAAGCTTTGAGTTGGTTGAAAAATAATAATTGCAATTTCATTGAGGTTCAATTAGACTCTTTATTAGGTATTTCGGAGATTTTAAATGGATCAAGTCTATCTTTGAAAGGCATCATCGCTGAGGACATTAGGAAAGTTAGCTTGGTTTTTTCTAACATTGTTTTGAATTGGGTTAGGCGGCCAGCGAAAATAGTTGTGCATGTGTTAGCAAAAGTGGCTGCTTCTATGTCATAGCTGTGTTTGGTTATCTTCTCCCCAAGCTGTATTGTGAATGATTTGTGCTTCAATCTGATTAATGATAATTAAGTAGTCTTCTTAAAAAAAAAACAATGGCTAAACTTAAATGTTTCTATATGCTTAAGAAAATATTGTATTGTATTGTGATAATGATTCATAATCACTTCTCTTTATTACATGCTTCCGTGTTGGATTAACAAATTAAACAACATGATATGCTCCTTTAAATTATGTCCATTAAAAGTGTGAAATTTTGATTTCATGCATCACATAATAATAATAGTAGTAATAATAATAATACTAATAATACTAATAATAATAATGATAATAATAATGATGATAATAATAATAATAATAATAATAATAATAATATCAGTAACCAAATTGTATTGTATTATTCTTGGATTTATTATCTCAAGCTAATTTGACAAAATTTAATAACTTATTAGATAATCTAAGAGTCTGAGAGCCCGTTTGATGACTCTGATTTTTGGCTTATCAGGTTTATCAGTCCGTTTTTCACTACACATTTTTTTTATTTCACGCGTTGAATTGTGTAATAATAAGAAAAAGTAAGTTTGAAATTATATATTGGCCAAACTTACTCTAAAAAAATCATTTTAGCTATTTTTCTACTCCCCGTGTCCTTTAAAACTTTGTTTTAAGGGAACCAATAAAGTAAAAACTGTGTAGTTGAAGTTTATGCGGATAGGAGAGAATTAACTGAAACCACAAATTGTTTATTTAAAAAGAAAGTAGCAAAGTTAATGAGACAAAAAATGGAAAGATGATAAAGTTTTAAGGGACATAAGGAGTATAGTTTTTTGTTTATTTTAATAAAAAAGAGATTTTTTTTAAATAATACTAACTATCTTTCATGAATCAAGACTAATACATATTTTAGAAATAACTTTTAATAATATCAACTATCTGAAGGTAAGCCACAAATAAAATAGTCATTGTTCTACAAGAAACTCAACCATTTAAGACATCACAAAATTATATCAAATCATCAAATAATTGATATTGGGAAATATAGTCACTTATTTGATATTTTGGTATTGGTCTTTGATGAGTTAAATGAATGCTTTTTAGTGAAAATTTGCCACATATCACTTTTGATATATATTCAAATAGTTGGTATTGTTAAAAGTTGTTTCTAAACTTCGTATTATTTTTGGTTCATGGAAGATTGTTGGTATTGATTGAAGTTATATTCCCATAATACAATATACTATCAGTATTTTAAATTTAATTTTTTCATAAATCAACAGAATCAACCAATACAGCTACTTCAACTAAAACTTCATACATTTCAGCAGAATTAGTCAAAAAAGTCGATTTGGATTTTACCACATAGGCTTTGAATTTTTGTAATAATTTTATTATCCCGTGCAACGCACGGGTTAAAAACTAGTAATACCTAGAACCAATTGTAGAGGAGAGAAATGCTTCTTCTCCAACACTTCAAGAGAATGCAAAAATAAAATATAAAAACTGAAATTTAAGCTTCAAGGGTGGCATGATTCTTGTTTGATGAATTGAGAGCTTTACATAGGCTAAATATTGACATCTTTTAGTCTATTTGAGCCCAACAATCAGGCATGGAAGATATATTTGATCAGATCATGAGGAAGGTGAGGTTTTTCCATCAAAATATTGTTGCACGTCTTTGTGTTTTGTACAGATTCGGGCGTAACCGGCGCCAGTTTTAGGCCTGACCGACGCCGGTTTTACTTCGGCGCAGGAAGAATGTAGAAAAACAGCATAACCAGCGCCGGTTATAGGAGTGGACCGGTGCCGGTTTTCTCTCGGCGAACCGGGAAATTCCCAAATTAAATACAACCGGCGCCGGTTTTAAGGGTGGACCGGCGCCGATTTTCCCCTGCAATGCAATACTTCATTTTTCGCTCTGTTTTACGCCCGCAGTTGACCCCGAAGTGTCGGTTCTTGGCCCCTTTTGACTGTTGACTCCTGTTTCTTCATCTTTCACGCCTTTGTGCAGTTTTGCTTAAATTGGGATTTTTTATCTGTTTCGTCTTTGAATATTTGTACATATAATCATAATGACCTATATAAAATATAGGTAACTATTGTGATTATCACTGTCTAATCATAAAGATCTTGGGAAAACTCGATTTTGTCTAGGCCTTGAGCTAGAACATCGAGTGTGTGGAGTATTAATCCACCAGTATGTGTATATCCAAAAGATGATCATGCAATTTAATATGGATAAAGCGCACCTTGCTAGCACTCCCATGGTTGGTCGAATTTTAGATCCCTAAAAGGACTCGTTTCGTCCAAATGAAGATGACGAAGAAGCACCAGAAGCTGAAATTCCTTACCTTAGTGCAATAGGCGCATTAGTGTACTTAGCACAATGCACTCGACCAGATATAACATTCTCAGTGAACTTGTTAGCTAGGTTTAACTCCGTGCCAACGCAGCGTCACTGAAATGGTATCAAAAATATTTTTCGGTATCTAAAATGAACCAGTGACTTGGGATTGTTCTTTCCTTACAAAGATACAAAGGAAACCACCGATGAAGTTGTGGTTACAAATTAAAGAAAACACCAGACAAAAAGATCACCCCTTGTATGAAAACTTCAAATGATGTCTTGGTAGGTTTTGATAATGCGGGGTATCTCTCTGACCCTCACAATGGCCGCTCTCAAACTGGTTATGTTTTCACAGTTGGGAACACGACAATATCTTGGAGATCAACTAAACAAACCCTTGTGGCTACCTCCTCGAACCACTCTTAGATTATCGCTCAACACGAGGCAGTTCGTGAGTGTACATGATTAAGACATATTCGAGGAACTAGTGGTTTAAAATCTCCCACTGAAGGGCCTACTTGCATTTATGAAGATAATGCAGCTTGTATTGAACAAATGAAGTTGGGATACATCAAGGGTGATCACACAAAACACATATCTCCCAAGTTTTTCTACAATTAGAAACAATAGGCTTTTCTCAAGATTCAAGTGAATCAAATAAGCTCGGAAGAAAACGGAACAAACTTGTTTACCAAGTCATTACCCAAAGCCACTTTTGAAAAACATGTAAAGAACATAGGAATGCGAAAGCTTTCTGAACTTCCCTGATTAATGTAAATATCAGGGGGAGGTGTAGACTTTAGGGGGAGTCTTACATCTACACACTACTACGTTACACTCTTTTCCCTAAACCAAAGTTTATTTTTTCCACTGGATTTTGTTACTTGGTAAGGTTTTTAGTGAGGTGACGGTACACATTCATCAAAGTAAGGATCCAACAAAAGACTCAATGAACAAAGTCTAACACAATTTGCATAGTGCTTTCTTTCTGTCAAAGTTATTTTTTCACACAAGGTTTTTGTTACTTGACGAAGTTCCTACACGACAACAAGCTTGGTGTGCATCGTTCTATCTACAACTCAACACAAAGGTGAGTATTGAAGAAAATTACTTTACTGTGCATTCATTATAGATAGAAAGTGTATCTAAGGTTTATATGTATTGAGCTAATTGGCCCATTAGCCCATACCTTGTAAAACCTCATACCTTGTAAAACCCTAATCCCTCCTATTTAAATGGGGCTTACTAATGAAATGAAACACACCTCACTTCCCTACAACAATGTAACCTTTTTCCTTGATTTTTTCTGCTAGATTCTTATATAACGAGGTATGCTTGTCGGGTAATAATGTCCAAAAGTGACACTTAAGTTGTCCATGATTAATTCTTGGTATTCTTATTCTTATAAATTCACTAAAACGTACCACTACAACTCCTATTTATATGATGAGATAGTGAGTGTTTGAAAAATTGGAAGGGATAAATGGTTGTAAACTCTTCACACCCTTTAATAGTAATACCAATGTTTTCTTCTATTCTTTACTTGTTCGAGTCTATCATAACCCTGCCGTCCCAAATAAAGTTTATTTCACTGAAAAAACAAGAATTTATGTGACTAAATGAGTAGAGCACAAAATGAAGAATATTGTTCAATTCCCATAAAGCATGTGATCACCCATCACGAGTTCAATTCAAAACTAAAAGGGGTTGCTCACATTTTCTTCTCAACTCAACCACCAAACAAAACCTGACACTAAATTCCTCGCGCTTAAATTTGGAAATCAACTATGCAATTGCCAAGCATCTCTGCAGTATAAAGTTCCTGAAGAATCTTGCTATGATGCTTCTGAGGAGATACTGATGTTTGAAGAACACTTTCTAGTTTGAAGTAAGACTCTTCTTCTTGATTAATGTCATTTTCTCCACGCTTTGTTCGTGTCACTTCTGCTTGAGTTTTCTTGTGAGTACTTGAATTGACCACATCTTTCTCCTTACGGCTACGAACGTTAGATTCTGGCGAATACTCGTTAGTTAAACCGGCCAGTTATGTGGGAAACATGTTTTTTAAGAATAATAATCGAAACAAATCTATTGACAAGTCCAGATGAAAATAAATGCATATAAAAATAATGTTATCATTTTATAAACCAATACCTCTGGATAGAATATGAGATTTTTTCTTTGCTTCAAGTGCGCTAGTTCGTGTAACACACAACCAGGTTCTTTCCTCTTCAAATCCAAGTTCTAACACAGTTGGAATGTGCCAGTGACCTTTTTCTGACTCCTGTCCACACAGAAGTCTGATACTTATAATTACCTTGTTAACTTAAAACTAAACAGTGGGGGCAGTGGGGCAGCCGCCTAGGGGTGGACTTGGGCCGGTTCGGGCCCGGGCCGGGCCTAGGCCTGGTCGGGCCTCCGGTTCAGGAATGGGGGCCCCGGAACCGGCCCAGGTAATCCCCGGTTCCGGGTCGGGCCGGGCCTTAGTTATTTTTTTTCTCTTTTCCTAGTTAACCCCCAACCCTCCCCCTCACCCCCAAACCACCCCAAATGGCCCAAAATACCCAGCCCAACCCAAAAAGTAAAAAAAAAATTGGAAAAAAAAATTAAAAAGGCCCGGAACCGGGGCCGAACCGGCCGGGCCGGTTCGTGATTTGGTGGGCCCGAGCCCGGACCGGACCCCCAGCGGGCCGGGCCTACCCGGACCGGTCACTGACCGGGCCACCGGGCCGGAACAGTTCTGGTTCGGGCCGGTTCCAGGTCGGGCCACCCGGCCCGAGTCCAGGCCTACAGCCGCCCCCCCCTCTCGACCTCCACCCAACCCCTATATATGTATATATAATATTTTGTATCTATGAACACATATGCTATTAATCGATTATATATTGAACGAATATCAATTTAGTAAAGAGATGAGTTGTTGGTTGAATGGTATAATGCTTGTGGCATAATGCCATAATGCGGGAGAGGTTCAACCCCTACAAGGTCACCTTTTTGTTTCTTTCATTTTACCTCTTTAAAGTTATCCCAAGCCTCAACCTTTGTTTAATTTTGGATACTTTTGTATGGGTTTAATCTTAAACTTTTCTTTCAATTAGTATGTAATTTACTGACTATTAATAAAAAAAATCTGAAAATACAAACTATATGAGTAATATTTTTTACTCCAACCTCAATTGATTTGCAATTTGCATGCAGTTTTAAAAGTTGACTCACAATAAGTTTAAACAATCCAAGCGGAGGGTTAACAAATAAGTAAATGGAATGAAACTGTGTTAATAAAGAAAAGTTGACTTCGCAAATCATTTTGGGATCGAGGGTGAAGTTACATCAACAATAAAAAGTATAATGTATTTCTTAAAAGGAATGTAAGATTTTTTTTGACAAAGTGAAAAAGTAAAATACGTCATAATATTTTTTAATACAAGTTCTTACTTATAGTTATTTTGTAATATCGTTTTCGTAATGTAATCTATTGTTGTGAAATGCGTATGATAGCAATTTTCATAGTGTAAATTTGCCCCCACTCATAGGATATCCTGGATAAACGCCACTGATTGTATTGCTTCTTTTGTAACAAATTATCAACATTAGCAATCACACACACTTATATATAAAAATATTGATATATAATACAAAAAACTAATTTATTTACCGGCTGACCTGCATTAGCTAAATCAGCTTATAATAATATATAATAATATTACAGAGTATATAACAACATAATAATTGTAAAGCACATAAATTACATTCTCTATAAAACTGCTGAAATGAGGATTAATGAAACTTGTATCACCATCTTTTAGGTATTATTTATTTTAATCCACCGAAGAAAAACATTATGAATCCATTTATAGACAATTCAGATCAATCAGTTCATTCAGTGACTATAAGCAAAAACACAAAACCTTTAATCAAAATTCACTTCCACAAAACAAGCAACTTAATAGATAAAATTAACCCCAAACATATTGTATCTAGATTCTAAAACTGAAAACTAATAGTACATGTTTGGTATTAGGTGCAAGAGAATAGATCAACTGGATTAGAATGCGAACCTGGATAACAACGGAACATGGGGGAGGCATTTGGAATAGTGGGCCTTTTTCAGAGAAACTAAAATGCACCTTTCATTGACAAAATAAAAAAGATCCTTCATCAGAATGAGTATAAGCTTGCTTCCCAAGAGCCAGTGAATCAACCCTCATCAAACACTCGTTAAATCTCACCTGATGTCGCTCTTTCCACTTAGGGAAAAAGTCATTTCCAAGTAATTGAAACAAATGATCTCTCATTTCATCATTTGTCACAAGTAAACATTTGAACTTTATAGCTGCATATAACCAGTACCTGAAGGGTTAACCGTTTCAAGATGAGTTATAAGTATGATACTGCCACACAAACGTTACTTGTCCCAAATGAGTTCTTTTCAGTAAACCGAACTAATTTTATGTTAATGCTGTGGTAATCTTCCTAAATAAAGGAAAGAGTAAATAAAAGTCCTGAGAAAGTTAAATTTGACAGAAAAAATAAATGAAAACAATAAATAAGATAAGTAAAACTGATGAACTATACGAGTTAAAGTCTTGGTGAAAAAAAAGTGTACCTTCACGAAAGTAGATGTTTTTTAGCAGAGGTAGTATGGAAAAGGTTCCCAGTTCTTACCAATCATCATTTGAACCAGTAGGTGTTTCATAGAGTGCATCAGCTGTTCTCCACTTCTCTATAAGTGCTTTTTCAAATGGTTTGTGCAACTTATCTCCATTAACTCTTCTATTATGCAAGATAATAAGAGGCCACTTTTTAGAAGGAAACATCTGTCGAATTCCATTTGCAACGGCATTGACCTTAAATGGAATATCATTTGGAGGAAAAAAGAATGACACTTTGTTAAGAATACTTAGTCAATAAGGGTGAAACACAAGCCATATTTTCACTGAGAGGGTTATTAATCAAATAAACAATTACCTTGGATGGTTTAAAGTTTCTTTGGTTCAAAAGTCCAACATTTGCTCCATCTACAACTGCTTCAAAAGGTCCATAGTAGTCAAGCCATTTCTGTATTACATTTTTTAATTTTGACTCACACATATGTGAAATTGAGAACAGCAGCAACAAATATACTATTTACATTACATACTTGAAATTTCTGGAAATTTGACTTCTTTTCTCTCTGTGCAGCAATAGAAGCAACAGATTGGGCAAAATTCTCAGTTTCCTTGGGATCGAGATCAATGGTTGCCAACTGTTCACCACAACATTTACATAACCCATCAGACCCGACAGAAGTACGAGACACGGTCCATTTCCCTTTTCCCAACCAGCCCATTCCATGCCACCCTCCACCTCCATTTTCAATTGCCCGCCGAACTAGCTCTTGATTCCATTTTCTTTTTCCCACTCTTGAAGAACATTTGCTATGAAACCACTTCTCAATCACATGTGCGGTGGAAGGAGAAACCTGCCGAACGTTCGTCCTAAGTTTGTGCAACACGTAGTAAACCTTATCACTCCTTTCAGCTTCGACACTTGCTTTCAACAGTGCTTCTAGTTCAGGCTCCTCTGGGCAAACCCCACTCTCCAACATATGTGCTTCCACCATGAATGCTTTCTCAACATCTCCGCTGTTGCAGAAACAATGAAGAGCTGGACCGTAGGAACGCAGTCTTGGGTTAATCCCGAATTCCTTCATTCGCTTCACCAGACTGAATGCCATGTCACCGTCACCCAAAGACATTGACAGCCTAGCAGCAGAAGTGAATATTGCCTCATTCATTGGAACATTTTCGGATTGTGACAACTCAAAGATTTCAAAACCCTTGTCAAGTGCAAAGCTCTTCACATCTGGGCTCACTTCAACTATATACCCTTCCTTATGAGCCCTTTCATCTTTTGCCTCAAAAGTCTCGGCACAGGTAATTACCAACTGAACCAATTCATCTAAAGTAGCAGCAGCAGAATTGTTGTCTGTTGTTACTTTTGAAGGAAACCCATAAAGGCTAAATTCATTCTCCACAGTTTTATCTAATGATACCAATGCACCATTATCAGGTGTGCTATTTTCCATATGAGAAGAAGATTCGCTTGTAGCTTCAAAATCAACTCCACTCCCACTTTTTGCAGACTGCAGGATACCTGTAGCTGCTGGTGCTGCTGCAGAAGAACAAATATACAACAACACAGAATAGTGATACTGATCCAATTTCACTCCTTCCTTTCTTGCCAACTCATACAGCCTAATTGCACTCAACACGTCCCCTCTCTTTGAGCACATTCCTAACCCAACTCTCAGCATAGCTTCCCGCGAGTGTAGCTTACGCTTCCTGGGTCTATTTCCCCTTTTCTCCATCTTCGTCTCCTTACATTTCTCTTCATTTCCCCCAGAAGAACCATTGTTGGATTGCGCACAAGGAAAGGCAGAGCTCTCTGCCCTTCTCTTTATTTGACTTGAATCCCTCCTTTCTTTAATAGTGACCCTATTCTCAATATTTGCTTCCGCGTGACTATTTGCTGGATGCTCACTACCAACTTTGAGGACATTAGGACTGAAATAAGAAAACCCAGAACGACTGTCATTATGATTGACGCTACCACTTGGAATTTCTTGGTATGCTTCTTCAAGCGCGAGTTTGGCCGAAGGGGAATATGAGGAGCATATCTTCAAATGTTTCAGGGGAGATGTGTGCTTACAATAAGATAAGGGACAGGCAGGAAGCTGAGCTTGTTGCGTAAATCTGAGGATGAAGGAGGCCATCTGTGACCGGACGCCATACAAAACAGTGAAACACTATTCCGTGTATAAATAAATTGACGAATTATTTCCTTATTTATTTACCGGGGTGAATATATTTTGCTGAGACGCGACAAACGAATGGGTCAGCCACGTTAGCTCTTTTTTTCTTCCAACACGTATCAACCGGTCAACGGCTAGCTCTGTAATAATACTCCGTATTGTTTCTTGTTTTATTCCTTGGAGAAAAGGTGAGCGAATTAATTTAGACATATACTGAGTGAGAGTATATACAAGCAAGTCATACGTCGTTGTCGCGAACACGAGAAGAAGGAGAAGAAGGAGAAGGAGAAGAAGAGGGCTATACCTCAAGTTGCATCCCGGCCACCGCTCTCGGCCCTTCCCTTCACTGACAATATACAAAGATTCCATTTTTACCGATTTTTAGCGGAGTATCATCTGTCAAGTTGCGTTAGGATACGACGGCCTCTCGCGGTTCAACTAAGCGTTTCCCTGTTCTCTTCGTTGATTGCAAATCGTGCTCCGCTCGTTGATGATCGAACCATAAACCATACACCATATAGGAGGTAATAAAGTCTAAACTGTCAATAGTTTCAATAAGGTTTCATCAATTTTTGGACAGAGGATCGATTCGTACTTGTCTTTCATCAATCCTCCTGTGCTGTTTCATCAAGAATCACGCCTCTTATACTGTTTGTGGTTTAAATGTCAAAACTTCCGAAGGAAAAGTGAGGGACTTTTTGTAATGTTTATCAGACATGTTTTGAGCTAAGAAAGAAAGGAGCTATATGTCTATAGCTGTATTCTTTTTGCTGAAATAACTTGAATGTCTACGGACTCTGGAGCTCAAGTAATGAAGAATCTACTGCATATTTAACTTGCTGTGCAGTGAATATAAGTTACTGCATTGACTTTGTGGGGAAGGGGGGGTATTCCGTTTCAAGTTATGTAAGGCTACCTTGGGAATGTTGGGAAGATTATGTCATGTTATATGGTTTGAGTTATAAGATTTGCAGAGAAAAGTTCAAACTTTACTGGGTTCTCATACTGTTGCCATACAGCATAAAGAGCTAATATTGGGCAATCTGATCAAAGTTATTTCTGCCCTTAAATCGTACTGCTTATATTACTGTATTTTCTTTTAAACCTATCAAAGTTACGTCTTTATTTTCTAAAACCAAAAACATCAAGTGATCTTACATGTATTACATAGGTAATCTTACTTTTTTGTAACCTTGCGTTACCTTGCCTGTGCCTGAGCCCTGAGGTAATTACGCTATGGGCCTTACCTAAGGTGATTTTACATTCCGTGAACCAAATGATAAAACTCTTTTCTTCTATATGACCTGCAGCCGAACCTTCCTCTTCTTATATCCTGATATGATATGAATTTGCTGAATTTTCGGGAAGGAAAAACGTCTGGTAAAGTTTTGATTTCCTTATTCTAATTAGTTCTGCTGATGAGAAAACCAAGCAGAATTAGCCTCGTTTAGCTACCAAGCAGGCTTTAAGTTACGCTGATAGTGAAACTAGAACAGCATGGAGAAATATTTAACTTTTAATGGAAACTTTTGTCCTAAAGGGTTCAAGTTCAGAAGACATTCTGTACATTTTGTTTTTCTTCTTCACAACATTAGACCATCTAATTCCACCAATGATATCAACAACTGGGCTCTTTTGGGAGCTTCTGGGAAAAGGCAATATCATGTGGGGCGGGGGTAACTGAAATTTCATACATTCTGGTTTCGTCATAACCCAGGTAGAACTGTAGAACGTATTAGGATGTAGTTGGCGTGTCCATATTATGGGCTGTGAGATGAGAGCCAAATTTATTCTAAAACTTAATTATCTGTAAAATCATAGGCTAATTCTCCCGCCATTACTTTCATCTGGATGTATTATTGGAATTAAATGGCAATATAGGTTAGGAATAAACATATCTGGACCATTATCACAAACCAGGCCCTTAAAGTAAGCTTCATTGTTCCTTGAAAATATTTTCGTTCTACCGTGACATTGTGGTCAAGTTATTTGCTACTTTGATTGGTTGTGAAGGGCAGAGGAGCGGTGTCATGTTTGGGCATTCACGTGTTTCCTCATCGATGTATAAGAGAATGACATCGAGGGATTACATGGAGGCTGATGATGTTGAAGTTGATAAGCATGATGGTTTAGGTAATATGTTTTCACTCATCGTTTTCTTATCACACTGTTTTGAAAATTGGAACTAGTTTTAATCTGTAATAATGCATCTTTATGAGGATCATGTAACTGCTCGGTGCATTTCATGGATGTCACCATACACTGATATATTGAACTATCTTACCACAGCAAGAGGCTTTAAGAAATTCTGAAAATTGAACACAAAACATTTATAGAAATCTCCAATTCAATCTGACACCTAAAACCATTAAATATTGCATATGTACAGAATCTGCATTAACATCTGTTATTGTTTTCGCTTGTGCACTTCCTAAAGTTTTTAGCATTTGTTTTAAGGTTTCATTGAGAATGGTGATGAACAAGAAGAGATGTCAACTCCCTCCTGGAAACGTTCGTGCCCACATGTGCTAGTGGCAATAATAGTTTCATTCTTGTTTGGCTATCACATTGGGTTTGTTTTATAATCTCTTTTCCCCTCTCTTTTTTCTTACTAATTTCCATTGAGCCTTATGAACATTATTGTTTATTCTTATTTTCTTCCTTTTCTCCAGAGTAGTTAATGAGCCACTTGAAAGCATTTCCATTGATCTTGGATTCAACGGGAATACGCTCGCAGAAGGTCCCCCAAACCACTCAAACTTTCTGTTAAATTAAATATAAAATATTCCAATCTTGATCACATGATTATTTGGTCTTTTTAACTTCTATGCTCTTACTTTCACCGTTTTCATTACTGGTATATGATTACGGATTTCTTCCCACTTTGGTCCTTAAAATGACTAGCCGGACCAAATTCTGTACAATCTTCCAGATGATGATTTGCCGGATAAATGACCAGACAGACTGAAAGTGCCAGGAGATTCATAGTCATGCACCAAAAGTAAAAATATGAAAGTCGTGGATGTAAAGTGATAATGAATTTAAATTTTCATGAGTGTAGGTCTGGTGGTGAGTACTTGTCTGGCTGGTGCTTTTTTGGGATCTCTGTTCAGTGGATGGATTGCTGATAAGGTTGGACGGCGTAGGGCTTTTCAGTTGTGTTCTTTGCCCATGCTTATTGGTGCTTTAATATGGTAAACTCCAGACCCTTGATTCAATCAACCCATATTTGACGGCTTGATGCACATAGTTGCTATTGCATTGATGTATAGCGCAAACTAACACATGCACTACCAGTGCAACAACTAAAACCTTAGCAGGTATGCTCCTAGGGAGGATTTTGGTCGGAATAGGATTAGGTGTTGGTCCACCTGTTGCCTCTCTGTACGTAGCAGAGGTATATAAACTATTCTTATGCGTAATGAAAATGCACTCTATGATTTTCTTCCGTTCCAATCGAGATATGTGGTGGAGTTTGCAGGTCTCCCCTGCTCATGTAAGGGGTACTTTTGGGAGTTCTATCCAAATAGCAACATGTGTTGGACTAATGGGGGCTTTTGTCATTGGGGTCCCAGTTAAGAGCATAATGGGCTGGTAGGGAGAAGAATTATAGCTTGAGTTTCGCATAATTACAAGATTCACAACTTTGAAGTATGTTTGAAATTACTTACCTAAT